ATTATGCAACATCTTATGTTTGTAATATTGACTATATATCAAAACCCATCCATCTTTATGTCTATCATATAATTATATTTAAAATTTTTATGTGTAAGAAATTTTGTTATTTTTATAATATAAGGCATGAGTTTATGTAATGCGAAAATATGACTAAAAATTTAAAATTAATTTTTAATTATGAAGCAGAATATTATTTCAAAATATAAATTGACCATCATTATCAGCTATTATTGGTCATCATTTGGGCAGACGTTTGATGTGTTACCGTTTAAAATGCCTGTCCTGAGGGTCATAGAAGTTAGTGATGTCTACTTCGACCACTACTTTTGTATTTTAAATTTCACAATTAAGGGCTGACTGCAGAAAATGATAATAGCGTTTATCTTATAGAGGAATAACAGTAGAATATGATAGGTGGGGATAAACTTCTAACTCCAAGTTGTATAATTTTTTTGAGGCATTTTCAAAAAATGTGGTTAAAAAATAGGCTAAAAATGACCATATTTTGAGTATGTGTCCAAATATCGGTTCGGGACACCTTCCTTATTACTTGTAAATTGTTACAACTAGTTGTCCACTTGATGTCTAAGATTATTAACAATTCCATGTGTAAAAATCTTGGATTGAATCTGACCCTAACGTTTCCCGCAGCAATGCCCATTCCTCGGGCTCGGGCGGTTCGGGTGCAAATTTTGAGGTCATAACCACCCGATTTGAACCGTCTTAGCCATTCATACCATGGATTGATAAATATTATATCTTCCAAAACTGAGGTAATGTTTCTGTGAGCCTCTGAAGTAGTCCTCTTGAGCTGACACTCGTAAAGCAGATAATGTCTGAAGTGTTTGGTATCACTTCCAGAGGCTGATATAACCAAACCTTGAGATAATTTTGAATTGTTTTGACGCAAAATTAAAGAGTGATAATGAATGTACAAATCGCCGTTGGAATCGTTTTGGTGACACCTACCATTCAAACAGCAGCCATTCAATGGCAGCCATTCAAACAAAACCTTATTTTATTTTCGCACTACATAAACTCATGCCTTATAAATTAAAAATATTGATAATTGAATAAAGTAAAAAATAAACAATTTTAAAGTTATGTTAAATGTAATTTACAAAATATATTGACTACAAATATTTCGGGAGCTTTATAGTGCTAACCCTGCTTTATATAAATTTTTGGTTGGCATACTATCGGGCAAACTGTCGGTTAAATATTTATTCGGGCTGGGCATCTTAATATCGGGCACATTCAGCCAATTATTCTACCTATCTAGCACCTACACATATGATGCTAGCGCCTGGTTCATACACGGCCTGTGAATGTAATGTTTATATTACATGATTTACAAATTGACCATGCTGATATCGGCTTAAGATGAAAGGCCAACATCATAAGCGTAATAATTACCGCAGCTTGCATAATTAACTAGTGATTAAAAAATTATTATGAATAACCTATTGTCAATAATTTATAGATTTTCAAAAAAAAACACAGTGTAACTCATATTAAACGTGTTTTATTTACTTGTAAAAATCATTAAATTACAAAAATATTTTATCATTAGTAATATGTGTATCAATTAATACAAACAATTACTCATTTTTATAACAAATGTAATTTAATCATTGTAATCAGCAACGACTTCAAATCCTTGGCATGATTTTTGGGCAAGTAGGCTTATTATGTTCGTCCACCATGCACGTTCGGCCTTGAGCGCATTTATGGCTTTTACAAGGGTCAGGTTTATCTTTGTGCCGAAGATGTCCGGCGCATTGAGCAGCCAATAGGAGTGCCAATATCGCCGCCACCATTGCAATTACCATGATCTTCATGGTAGGGTTTTGTAGCTTAGTACTTGCCGAGTTTATATTATTAATGATTAAAGTTAGTACTTAAAGTGGTCTTTAAATCTGTGTTTAACTCATCAAAAATGGTGATTATTAATTAGTTGCACACTTTGTTGTTAATCAAATATGGTTATTTTATATTAAATACACACCTTGTGACCAAAGTGTCGTCACGTTGAGTAAATTAATTAATATAATTAAGCCAATCGTTCAAATTTAATTAAAATTTCTAAAAACATATTAGCAAACAGTAAATGCATAAAAATTATAAACAACGTGAACATTATAAATTACTAAATATCAGTCATGCTAAGTGAGCTGGGTCTCTAAATATCAATAAAGAAAATTACAAAGGTCTGAAAAAATAATTTTAATTTTGATGAAAATTTATTCGTGAACAAACAATTAACAAAGAAAAATAAATATACAAAAATTATTTAAAAGTTATTTTTAAAAATTCCGACGGATTCTTGAATTAAATGTGAAGTAGTATTAAGCGGGCTTTTATTAAAAATTGATTTAGTGATTAAAAATAACGTTTCAATTATAAAAAGCTCAAAATGACCGTCAAGCCCCAATATTACCATAAGTTTCTTTGTAGATCACTATGAATATGATGGGTTACTTGTCCAGTCAGCACATCCTTCGAACACCTCATAAACATACGATTTCTACGTATTATACTCATTACCTACCGATTACTTTAATGTCAATTATACCTATATAAAACTCACTCTATTCCATGTATTTTCGCAGTCTATTCAAAGTCCTCTTTAAAGACATTTCAACCAATTTATACAATTTCTAATAAATATTGTTTTATTAATTGTTTAAATAAGTGTACATTTTATTGGCCGATACGTCGGGTTTAATAGTTAGTGACCGCTTCGAATCTACTCACTCAACATATTATTGTACAATTTTAAAAGACATTGCTGATCCGGTGTGGGTTTGTATGCTTGTGTAACATGTTGTTAAAATATTAAAATTCTTTTGTAAGATCGTGTCAATGTGCACAGACACTTGAGTTATCCCTAAATTTTTAGTCAATTAAATACATGTGTATGCATTGATAAATGATTATCACATGTATCGTGTCATTCACAAAAAATACTGTGCATTAAATTTAGTACAAAATTAGTAAACAATTGTGGCCATAACTCGGGTGTCTGTGGCCATTGGCACAATCTTATTTTTGAATATCTATTTCGTGGTTACACCAACCCCTATCGGAGCACCAATCTTTGCGTAGTAAATACATTAATTTATTAATTAAATTATCATACAGTTTAAATTTATAATCATAAAATTTAAATTATAATAATTCTAAAGTAGTCAATTAAACTGAGATTTAATTAATTATTTATGGTTAGCGACTTGAATAATATTGACAGTTCTGGATTTAATTTGATGAACTTTTGGTCTTTTGTTTGTTTTATTAAATAACATTATGTTATTATTATTACTATTATTAGCAGTACTAGTAGTTGCAATGGTAGAAATCGAAGTAGGAGTCAAATTTTTATTATTATTATTATTATTATTATTAGTAGTAGTAGTAGTAATAGTAGCAGCAGCAGTAGTATTAATAGAAGTAGGAGTTGTAATATTATTATTATTATTAATATTCATGACATTAAGTATACCTGTAGTATTATGCGGAGTACTTTTATTACAGAAATATATTTGATATTTATTAAACATTTGTGTGAATATATTAGTGAACATTAGGATCGAAGCGCCAAACCATAGGCCCAGAAGTGATCCCACGAACACCAAATATTCCTGCCAGGACATTTTTAATGATATTTCGTACACTATATCGGGCTCTGATGGTAAGTATACGGTTATACCATAAGTATCATCTGAATTATCAACACTTTCTTTATAATCAACAGAATAATAGTGTTGAATGCACTCCATTTGTTCGTTGCATTCACTTTCGCAATCGTTTCCAGTATCGATATTTTTCTTAGACCATGAATCTATTAATTGAGCCGATATATTATTTTTATATTCAATAAGGTAGTACAAATAATCATCTGAATATGCATTATATTTTCTAAGCAACTCCCGTTTTATGCATTCATATATGCAGTCGTCTTGATCTTGATTTATAAAGCATTTATTATGGTTGTATTCATAACGCTTATCTATCATGTTTGTCTTTCGATATTTTATACTATAACCGTTGTTATTGTTAGCATTTGTTATAATGTAATTTTTTTGAAAAAAATATCTGACTTTTTCAGTTGGGAAATGGAGTCGGACGTAGACATTAGAAATTAAGGTTTTATTTAATTCAATGGAAATTAATGGGTTAGATTGTCGTCGTTTCTTTTTAAGTATATAATTATGTTCGGGTTGGGTCGACCACCGGGAAAATATGGTCCAACAAGGTGTGTCACCCCAAATAGACACGGCATAAGAACTTACTTGATCACATTGCGCAAGCATACTTCTGCCAATTTGAAACTGTTTGGTATAATAACAAGAAACAATTGTTTCATTATATGGCATTATTGCAGCAAACAGTTGGCCCAAATATGTCTAGAATGTAAAAGAATTAAAATTGTTACAGTTAACTTGTATATTGCATACCATGTTTTGAGTTTTTTCACGTAATCCTTTAATTTCTGGGCAAATGGTAATCGCCGGCAGTCTATAGCGCCCATCCGTATCAAGTCTTATGTTTGCTGTGGTTTCGTATGAAAAGTATATTAAACTGATTTCATAGGTTTGGTATAGAAATCCACTCAATAGTAGTGTTTTCAATACAACATCTTTTACTGATATTTTTGGCCACATTTCTGTATTTATTATAATTTTTGACAAAAATATTATGTATTTAGAAAATATAAAGTTTCATAGAGATATGCCTGATTTGCATTTAATACATCTAATAAAGCAGCATAGCATTATTAACCTTTTTCCTTATATTGATATAACATTTATTATAAAAAGTTAATTGTTTTTACAAAAATATTAATATTCCGCCTATTTGTTTTGTGAATAAAAAACAATATATTTTAATTAGAATTAAATTAAATATTTTGTCATATTTTCAATCGCTGTCAGCAAATATACTTAGATATTTTAATAAAACATTATATTCAATATAATATAATACATAAAAAAAATATGCGTTAAGATAAAGCATATATTAAGATCCCGTTATTACATAAAATTACATAACAATAACGAAATCAAAATAAAATATAAAGAAATTTAATTTATATTTCTGATTTATAGAAAATAATTGTTTGTATTACATATAACACAGATGTAGTTGTAGATTTTATTTTTTATACATGATAATTATATTGTAAAATACAAATTAAAATAATATAACTATAACATAGACTTTACACACGCAATAAGTATTCAATTATACTTTTACACTATTATAATCAATAATATAATTAAAAACATATACAGTATCATTATAGTTGTTGAATTGATCAAAATTAATTATGTTTCACCTAGGTGCACACCGGCTATGGTCGCACCGGGCATACAAAGCCAAATGGCCGCTACGGCTAATACTGGGCGCACTCCAGACGGCCACCATTCAGGAGGATATATACGAGTGGTCAATAAAACACCAAAGACCTACTGGATGACCATATTGTAAAGTACCAGCGCATGTTTTATAAGTTCTGGGTAGTTTTGGTGCGCGGCACCATGTACACAGTCATTCCCCGTTCATTGTTTCCGCACGAGAGTTGAACGTATTTGGTGGCGATAAACAGCTGTTTTATGTGATACTATTGCATTATACCTGGTTGGTCAATTCCGTGGTCCATATGTTTGGGTATAGGCCCTGTGATAAAAGTATCCAGCCCACTGATACCACCTTGCTCGTCAGGTATTTATATATTGTTTAAAATAAAAAATTAATTAATTTTATTTAAAGCACAAATAAACAGTAAATAGTCAATTACTTTAGCGGGTATTTACAAACAAACTAGATTTAGATAAACATGACCTAAATTGTTATGAATATTAATAAAGCTAGTGGTATAAATAACTCATTACATTAAGTTTGTGTATCAAATTAATTATATTCTAATGAAGTTCTATCTGTAAACACAATTCAATATACAAACACATAAAATATTGTTAATTAAGTATAAATTATATGTAATAAACAAATTATTATAAAACAAACATAAAATACAATTGGTTTCCGGAGTGGTTGACAGAGTGGGCACATGTGTTCAGACAAACGGCCCGCCAATCGTGACCAGCCATACGGTACGGCATAACCACCAAATAACCAACATTTATTTGAACCTTGCTTAGAACTTTCTTAGATAAAAATTAAGTTATTTGAGATCAATTTGAAAACAATTATCATAACAATTAAATGTTTTGTAAAAAATAACTAGTTATATTACTTATCATTGCAGCAAAATCACCAACAATGATCATCTCAAGAGCACAGACCGAGATCATTTTATTAAATAACAAGAACCAGAATAATGACAACGTGATAATAATTAAACTGCCCACAATTCATTCAATAGCGGTCTATGCTCTGTATTTACATTTCAACAAGGGCATTGATGGCTTGAGTGAGCTTGGTCTAAATGTTTATTATGTAACAGCAAATATATTTTGCATGTTTGGCAAAATTGCCGGTATGATTAACCTGTTTATACATAATAACTATACTGTAAAATACAGCTTAAAACAATATAACTATAACATAGACTGTATAATAAAATATTGTCTCTACCAGGCATAAGAATTATTAAATATTTAATATATTTAATAAGCCAACTAAAATGTAAATATAAATTATATCATTTACTCGCGTTATATTTACGTTATAGTCGGTTTATGTTGACAAAATTATACTTGATTAATTTAGATTATTAATTAAAAAATTTTGCTTAACAAACATTTCTCGGACACTGAATTCCAACTAATATTATTATAATGAAGCTAATAAATATACTAAATATAATTTGTACATATTACAGTTTACTCACTTAATTTTTTAATACACAACATTCAAACACAAAAATGTTTAATCTAGACTTTAACACAATTATAATTAATAATAATTAAAAATACTTATCATTATTTTTTTAAATTTAATCTAAATTAATTATGTTTCACCTAGGTGCACACAGGCTATGGTCGCACCGGGTATACAAAGCCAAATGGCCGCTACGGCTAATACTGGGCGCTCTCCAGACGGCCACCATTCAGGAGGATATATACGAGTGGTCACTAAAACATCGGTTGCACCACAAATTCTCTGACACCGACGGCGATCCCACCAACATTAGCAGGGGCTTTTATGGGCCCACATTGGGTGGCTATTTTTCAAACGCCACCCCACCTACCTGGCCAAAGTGCCCACCATAGACACCAAGGATCTACTGGACGACCCTATTGTAAAGTACCAGCGCATGTTTTATACGTTCTGACAAGGGGCCTGCAAGTTTTTGCCGATTCACAATTAAATCTAATTCAGTTGTACATGTAGATTGGGTGGGAATAAAAAATATAAATTTTATATCTCGGGCTGATAGCCACAAACGACCGAGATATGACCATTCTAGTGATCCCGTCTATACAGCGTATAGCATTGAAAAAAGGTGTTTCACACAGTGCTTGGGCTAATCACCAGTACTGCATTGCTATATGCTGTGTGGGCGCAATCACTAAAATGGCCATATCTCGGCCGTTTGTGACTATCAGCCCGAGATATAGAATTTATATTTTTTATTCCCACCCAATCTACATGTATAACTGAATTAAATTTAATTGTGAATCGGCAAAAACTTGCAGGCCCCTCGTGAGTGGTTTTAGTGCGCGGCACCATGTTCACGGCCATTCCCCGTTTATTGTTTCCGCATGAAAGTTGGATGTATTTATTAGAGATGAACGTGCTGTTTTATGTGATACTATTGCATTATACCTGGTTGGTCAATTTCGTGGCCCATATGTTTGGTTATAGGCCTTATGATAAAAGTATTCAGTTCACTGATAACACCGTGCTCGTCTACTTAGCTATGGGTTAGTTTTAATTTAAATTATTTATTTATTATAGATGATTTATTTTATTTTATTAATTCGTGTATTTAATTATTATTTAAAATAAATTATTTAATTAATTTTATTAAAATCACAGTAAATACAGTCAATAGTCATACAGTCAAGCGGGTAAATAGAAACAACCTAGATTAGTTCATAAAACAAGTTATATTAATGGTTTTGTATTTTACTATAAAAGGGCATTAATTATGATGTTATTTATTTAAATCTAACGATATAATTTTTGTAATGTTTAATAACTTGAACAATTAGAAAATCATTGTTAAAACTAAACTAACATCCAATTTTATTTATGACCATGTACAGGCGGCGGTTACCTCAACTACCATCACGCATTTCTTCAGGATTACTCCGGGTCCGAGTACAGGTGGGAGCAAAATTTTAACCCAACCAACTTGCTCATCGACATGTTTGCAAAAATTGGTTGGGCCTATGATCGCAAAAAAGTATCGGCAGAAATAGTACGCATGCGTACAAAACGTACGGGCGATACGACAGCCTTACGCCGTAATGTAAGTATGGCTATGGATGTGGTGTTGGGACTACTGATACTGTATTGGCCACTACCCGTGATTTACGGTATTAGGTTATTGGTCAATTAATTATTATAATAATTTAAGTATTGCTATCGAGGTGATTTATGGTAGTGTCAGTTACCAGAAATTAATTTATTTTATACCATATATATTAATATACCTAATTGTTTGAATTTAACCCAGATGATTGCGCTACTGTATTTTGTTACATAACCATATTGTGTTTGCTATTTATTATGGCTCATTAATTTTTTAAAAAATTATAATTGAATTGATTTTTGTATTTTGGAAATGACAATTTTTTAATTAAAATTATGTTTTTCAAACAAGTTTTTAAAAATAAATTTTTAATATTTTATTTTTAAGATTATAATAACAAGCAATATTAATTGTAATTAATTTCTCTAATTCTTTTCACCAAAAAATTTACATATAATTTATTTTAAAACATTAATAGACTATACAAATTACATTTAAATTAAATAATCATAATGTGCTTTTTGAAATTTACAACTAAATAAATTTAAATTATAAAGAATTATTTTGTTTATACAGTGCCACCTCTCTATAAGGAACGGCCAGTTGCACTACAAAAGTTTAATCGATATGAATATTGTATGTCAAAGAGACAACTGATTCAACGGATGGCGACAATCAATGTCTGAATGCCTGAGAGTGTGATTGTGAGCTAAATATTCAGTACCCAACATAACAGTCATAATATAATTTAAAATATAAGTTACATGTTATTATGAAATATAGAGCTTTTAAATTGATAAAAATAATAAAAATTAATTAAATAAGCAAACAACAATACATAATATTTTTTATTAACCCAACCGTTGTTTATTAATATTATCGATAAAATAATTTTCTGTGATATGATGTTTGCTTAAGGTGTTGTAAAGAAATCTTACAAATAAAAATTAATTAGCATATTGTATACTACAATAACAAATTGCAGTTATTATGCATGCACATTTTTGTTGTATTGTTGTATTACGACAAATTTATGCGTTAATAACAATTTTGTTGTTACCTTTAATGAAATCAATAAACCTTTCAGGCAATTATCGTTTTTCATAAATGCAAAGGTAATAAAAAGTTTATAATATAAGAAAATTAATTTTCTATCGTAATAATTTAATTTATTTTATTGTGAGGAATAGTACATAGTTTATGTTGTTATATACAGTAATATTAGTATTACAGATCACATCAAATCTCTAAATTCAAGCAATAGGCTATAACATGATTAATACCGAACATAATTTTCTATACAAAATCGTAATACTTACTACAACTATAAACATAATAATCTCATTTATATAATAACAAAATATTTTGTAATATTTTAAAAGTTACAAATTCATTTCACATTTACTATGTCTTATCGGCTGTTGTATCCAATCATCACAAGTATTAACACAATATTTGTCATTCGAAACAACAACTGACGTCCGTTTGGAGACCGAGCCGACCATATCATTACCGGCAATCACTCTTTGTTTGATTAAAAATAATTATTTAAGACCAGAATTTGAAACGAAATTATTTGAACATTTAGACGACGATATCGAAGAGGCAGATAAACCAAAAATTATTTACACCTTTTTGAATAATATGTCCGTTAGCGAACAATTTGCGGCATTAAAAGCTCTGGCAGACATATACGAAAAATGCACAATAACTACACCCATGTTCAGTAATGTATCTGCTAATACAATCAATTGTGCAGACATGTCACCTGTGCTATATTCAATAAGCCATGAGGACTATTGTATATCATTATTCACCCAAATGAACGGCCAGTCGAGCAATGATTATATAATTAATAATGATATAAAACAACAATATTTGTTCTCTATCGAAAATATAACTATAAATGATGACGTATTAATACATTTTCATGACAGAGATATGATTCTAAGAGATCCAAAACAAGCGGGAGTTCAAAGTATCACGTCGAATTACTTGGTAACATTTATTGAATACCAAAAAACCGCAGTCAAGCTTTTGCCCGTTCCATATAGGCCAGGGTGTGTAGATTATAAAGTACGTGGCCTGGGGTCGCAATACAAGTGTCAGGAAAAGTGTTTGCTAAATCGCTTACTGGCCGGCAATGGATCATTGCCTGATAGTTACCTCGTTTACAATCGCAACTTAAGTAACAATTTTGACGGTAAATCAGATTCAAGAATACGCGACTGTATTCATGTTTGCGCCAAAAGACCCGATTGTAATCAAGCGTTTTATCAAATCACGCCAAAGAATTTGGGCCAACCGCGTTACCTCAACATTAGTACTAATAGTAATAGTTATATTACATTTAGAATGCCATCGCATCCAACGTTAACGTATAGGCAAATACCGAAATTAGAATTCATCGAGTTTCTGTGTCTGCTAAGTAGTGTATTTAGCCTTTGGTTTGGCTTCACCTTAATTATGTTCTCTAATTTCTGTTTAAATTCTGTTATAACTTTATTTTGCAATAATTATTTAACACAAAATAATTATAATAATAACGTTAACAATAATATAATTTTGCATAATTACATACAACCCGTACATTCAAATTCTATTATAGTTACTCGTAGGAATCAGCAAATAAATAGCAGGCGCGCTTAATACAGTGCAACATCTCTTGGGTGAAACTCTCTTGGATGAACACCTCCTCATAATGAATGGTCTTGAAATTTATGTTGGATTTCCTATACTTATAATGTTAGAATAACCTCCCTTAGGTGAACTTCTCCATAATGAATACATCCCCATTATGATCGGATTTATTGAGATTAAGATATAAATTTTACTTCCAATAATGAACAAATAATATAATAAGCAAATGATTCCTAAAAATATTCAAAATAATTTCTAATCTAAGACTTTAAGCAAACCAAATCACATTTTTATATCAAGTTTCATTCAATATTGTAAGAGATGTGTATTCATTCTTTGATTATGAACTTTAAATTATTACTTTATATCTATAAATGCATCCGATGCTCAAATATTTGAACAATTTGACAAAGTTAAAACTAATGCATTTAATTGTCATTTAAATATAGCTAAACAAACTAAAATTACTGATTATTTTCAATAATTGCTATTATTTATAAATATTCATCAAAAATAAGACATTTTGACTCGAAACTCCCTAAGATGAACCCTCCCTATAATGAACACATTTGTCGTGCAACTGGCCGTTCATTATAGAGAAGTTGCACTGTATTAAATAATAACAAGGATTGCACGGCTGATGCATTAGTCCTAACACATTATCAATGCTAATTAAAATATTTAATGATATGTAGTTTTATGGAAACAAAACTTGATTAATAAAATTTTGGATGTTGTTAAATTATTGAAAATTTATTTATGTAACAATTAAATTAAATATAATAAGAAATCGGTTGAATATACAGGGTGTTTAAGAATGAATAAATTTAATTCAATTCAATTTAAATAATTGGAATAATACTATTCACAATAATTTGTATAATTTGTTTGTAAAACTTAAAATTAACCAATAAGTAGTCACATAATTTTTTTTACATTTCATTTATGAGTAAAATGTAAATTAATCTTTCACTGACTCTCCTAAAACTCTTATATTAAAGCCTCAGTCATGCTGGTCAAACTATATGTAAAACTTGGCTTCAAATATTATTAAGTTTTATTGATTTGTGTGTACGGTTAGACTGATCAGATGTCCAGGAATGGCCTGGATTGTCCGGGAATTAGATGGTCTGTCCATAAATTTACAAATAATTTTGAATTTTAATTTATGGAAATGTCTAGAATAAGATTAGTGAAATGTCCAGATATCCAGAATTAAAGGGTTAATTTTTGCCTAAAATCCAAGATTGTAATATAATAATCTGGTCAGTCTAGTTACAACACGGTAGTTTACATACTATTCTGATCACTTTTGTCGTAACTCAAGTTGGTGTGATATAAACTAAAATAAAAAATTAATTAATTGATTTAATAATAACTAAATTAATTTCATATAATAAATATTTATTTAATTTTAATATTCAACAAAACATAAAAAGGTGTAAACAGGTATATTACTTTCTATATTTATTAAACAATGTGAAATTTTTAATGTTAATTTCAATGATAGTTGTTTATTACCTTTATATTTGTATTTAAGTTGTAATTGACATATTAATTGAAATTGGCACATATTGGCAATATATAAATTTATTATTATATATAAATATAAGGGGCCGGTCAATTAATTCCAGGTATGAGGTTTTTCTTATATTTTGTAAACTAGAAGAGGTAATTTGATTCTGTATAGTGCATTCAATAGAGCCATATACGCTGCATCTTTAGCATAGGCGGTCAATATATTTTGGTCACGTGGTATACAAAATATGGGACAATTCGGAATGGTCATATTATTGGTCTAACAGTTAGAAATATAGAGATTATCTCTATGTATGACTTATAGAGAGATAAAAGGTGTATTATATAACAAAAGAATTATTAAAATCCAATTGCAGGTTTTCACATAGCAGCTTAACAAACTAGGCCAATTTTGCATGTTAACTTATAGGGAGAAAAATAATATTATATTTTAATATAATTGATTATATTTTTGAAAACTACATTCAATGCTGATAATGTTAGTAAAAGAAATTTTTTAAAAATTTCATTCCAAAAACAAAATAACTTAAATTGAAATATTGAAAATATTGAGTTTTCTTTAAATTTTATAGCTAAAACTTAATATTTCGATTTAAGATATTTTGTCTTTGGAATGAAATTTTTAAAAAAAACACTATCAGCATTGAATGTAGTTTTTAAAAATATAATTAATTATATTATAATACAATATTATTTTACTCCCCATATGTTAACATGCAAAATTGGCCTAGTTTGTTAAACTGCTATGTGAAAACCTGCAATTGCATTTTAATAATTTTTTTATATTGTGCAGAACTTATCTCTTTACAAATTATACATTGGGATTATCTCTATATTTCTAAACGTTAGACCGGTAATATGACCATTCCGAATTGTCCCATATTTTGTATACCACGTGACCAAAATATATTGACCGCCTATGCTAAAGATGCAGCGTATATGGCTCTATTGAATGCACTATACAGAATCAAATTACATCTTTTAGTTTACAAAATATAAGAAAAACCGCATACCTGGAATTAATTGACCGGCCCCTTATATTTATACCAATTATTTATTACAAATTTTTACAATGTATACCACATTACTCGCGTTAAACCATTTCAACATTAGTAGAACATTCATCAATAACGTCTGAAAACAAACGAATCATGCATTAAAACATCGAGAAATTCAATGCACACGTAATTACATTTAATTGCGCTATTAATGAATACAAAACTATTGGGTAATATTATATCACAGCAATCGTTGAATACCATATAGCTTTGATGATTAATTATTGATTTTAATTAATTATTTTGAATACGTGTAAAATTTTTCAGTTTTGATAAAATGGCAAAAATGATTTGTTTTATATTATTAGCACTAATCTGCATGAGTGCATTGGATGCAGGGGATGATAAGAAGAAGGGTAAGAACAAATAATGACAATTTATTATGTATGAGTTTGATGTAGAAATAATCCATGGCCAACACGTCTCATTTTAATATTATAGCTAGACATTATATGTGTTCTACTTATTTATAAATACTAACCTTTATATATCAAATAAATACCTAGTTAATATTATTTTCGGTATGTGCTAGTAACACATATGCTGCTTTGAACTCAATATCTCTTGATGTTATTACTGATAAATAGTGTGCATTTATTTATTACTTATTTATTATATTACTTTAATTATAATAGTAAGTCCTAAGAGGACATTGGTCAAAATATATCTAAAACAAATTTCTGCTTTTTAAAAACGAGAACAATTGTTAACCCCATTTATAGCTATTTTATTCATACATTTATGTCCGTCATTTAAATAAAGTATAGCACAGAACTATCAATGCACATCAAATTAAATATTACTATGTTAATATGTAAAAAATGTGTATCCATTATACAGATTGTGTTTGTGGCAAAATTCTTGGTAAATTCTGTGGCAAAAGGGCCAAAAATAATAAATATCTCACTGGCAAAGGCTGTGATACCGATCAACTTTACCAATGCAAAACACGCAAGGGTGAACCGGAGAAGTTAAAGGATTGCCGCAAGTGTCAGGTCGAAGATAAAAATCAAGATCATTGTATCTGATGGTTAAGGTTTCTGACCAAGTAAAACTATCATTTGTGACAAACAAGCTTATTAATTACATTTTAATAAATTATTATATTATTCGTTTATAGACATAGATAATGCAATAACTTATAAATAATATTGTAATTGTTAATACGCATACGAGCATAAGCTTAATTTGTTTGCAAATGTATTTGATTTGTCAAACTTTTTTATAATAAATTATTTTAAATTTTATGTTGATAAATGAATTGAACATAGACACTTAAACACATATGACGTTGCAAAAAGGTTTTTATAATCAATATAACTATAATTCACACACGCAATAAGTATTGAAATATACTTTTACATTATTATACTTAATAATAATTAAAAATATAAATCATTATAGTTTTTGAATTGATCTATTATATAACTTATATTATTACATATTACTTAAAGTAACTAGTTATATATTACTTATTATTGCAGCAAAATCACCAACAATGATCATCTCAAGAACACAGACATTTTATTACAACATCACAACATTTTATTAATTAACAAGAACCAGAATAATAACAATGTAATAATCACCAAACCTGAGCGTGTTAAATACAAAAAGCCAGCAAAAAATGTACCACATCAATTTAAATAGCATGGTTTTATGTATTTTTCTGCCCATCATTCATTCAATAGCGGTCTATGCGCTGTATATATATTTCAACAAGGGGATTGGTGGCTTGAGTGAGTTTGGTCTAAATGTTTATTATGTTTGGCCTGTTTGGCATAATTGCCGGTTTGTTTAACTTGTTAATATATAATAATTATACTGTAAAATACAACTGAAAATAATATAACTATAACATGTATAATAAAATATTGTCTTTGTCAGGTATAAGAATTACTAAATATTTAGCGGATAATTACAAACAACCTAGATTAATCCACAAAACAAGTTACATTATAATGCATTGCATACTGTAAAGGTTTTTTTGAAATAAAATATGAATGTTAGGTTTTGTTATTTTTATTAAAAAAGGGTTTTGCAGCAATATCATTATGATATTATTTATTTAAATCTAACAATATAATTTTTGGTTATGTTTATAACTTAAACAATTAGAAAATCATTATTAAAACTAAATTAACATACAATTTTATTTATGACCATGTACAGGCGGCGGCTACCACAACTACCATCACGCATTCCCTCAGGATTACTCCGGGTCTGAGTACGGGTGGGAACAAAATTTCAACCCGACCACCTTGTTCATAAACATGTTTGCAAAATTGGTTGGGCCTATGATCGCAAAAAAGTGTCGGTAAAAATAGTACGCATGCGCACAAAACGTACGGGCGATACGACAGCCTTACGCCGGAACGCAAGTATGGCTATGGATGTGGTGTTGGGACTACTGATACTGTATTGGCCGCTACCCGTGATTTACGGTATCAGGCTCTTGGTGAATTTATAATTATAATAATTAGAGTATTGATATTGAGGTGATTTATGGTAGTGTCAGTTACTAGAAATTAATTTATTTTATACCATATATGTAACTAATTGTTTGAATTTAACCCAGATGATTGCGCTACTGTTTTTTGTTACATAACCATACTATGTTTGCTATTTATTAGAGCTCATTAATTTTTAAAAAGTTCTAATTGAATTTATTGTTGTATTTTTTAAATGATAATTTTTTAAATAAAAATTATTTTTTAAGATTAAATCGTTGTTTTTAAAATATTAAGTAATTAGAATTTTAACCAATCATGTTAATAATATCGCCAATTTTATTATATTTAATAAAATCCACATTTCTTACAGAATAATTATTTTCAATTAATTTTATAACAATTATTAATAGTAGTAATAAATTAATCATAATTTTTATTAAGGGATTCAGTATAATTTTATAAACTGTAAGAATTACAAGTTTTCTCAAATAATCATAATATGTTTTTTGTAGTTTAAACTTAATGGTTTAGCGTCGTTGACAGTTATTTTGCTTATATTAATCTATGGTGCATGTTATTTCATAGAAGTGACCATTATTCAAATTGTTAATTAATTTGCATAACTATTGTATTAATAATGTTAATGCATATTTAATTTAGATATAATTATAACGTATAGTATTTTGTAATAATAATTATCAAATTATATGCTATTTTATTTATAAAACTACGTTGGGTTTTTATTAATTCACTAGTGTTTTATTTTTAAGTATTTTATAATAAATTATTTTATTTATTTTTGTTCATAATTTACTACATTTATTATTACAGCAAAAAATTGAATGTTATTTTTTTAATTGGAATTTGTCTATTCATTTATTAACTGTTCTCGATTTATAATAAATATGTATTTATTTTAATAATGACAATAATTTGTGTATTAATACATATAATTAAACATTACAATTTTTAGACTGTAATCATTACATTAAAAAATTAACAATATAAACTAGAAAAATTTAAATTTATTTTATTGGTGTAATTTATTTGTGGTTTGTCGTAAAAAGCGCTTTTTAAAATTATATCTAATCACCAAGTTTATTTTTAAATAATAATTTATAATTAAACATAAAATTTTAACAAATATAAAACTTTTAAAAAATTTAATGATTAACACTACTTAAATATTTTGTAAAAATTAACATTTTGTATTAATTATTATAGCAGCAAAACCACTAACAATGATCATCTCAAGAACAAAGACCGAGAACATTTTATTAAATAATGATCCCAAATACAGGCCAGAGGTCATTTTTCTAACACCTTGAATAATTATAGAGCGGTTGATAATTAGATTCCCAGATTAAATATTTAAATTTCTTAATAAATTAAATTAATTGCAAATATTTATTGAAATTTTAGTAAATATTACTTTAACTTATGTATTGTTTATGAGAGCATAGAAACAAAGCTTTCCTTTGAATGGTTGTAATCAAAATGTCATAAAATTTATAAAGTTTTTCACAAAATTTAAGACCAACTTGAATGTGGTATTTAATAACAATTTATAGTCACTGGAAATCTATGTCAAAAAACAATTTTCAATTAAATTTTGCAATTCTAATCAAACCTTCACTAAAAACTAATAACTTAAGTCAAACTAAAATCACATAACATTATGTCTATTACTGTACACCAATTACTCTACCATATGTGTTCAATATTGAAAATTACTTATTTCTACCGCCATTAAACTCAATAATAAAATCCGCAAAAAATACGCAAAAAAATAAACATCATATTGATAATGAAGGGCAAAATGAACAAGTTAATAATAATGGTGTTTGCGGTGGTGGCGATGTCGGCAATGGTGTATGGTGAATTAACGGACCTCATGCACCTCTCTCCAGGCATGGCTACCCCTCTGTTAGGGAATGTGGTCCATGGAAAAGGTGCAAAAGGCCCTAAAGGTGGCCCTCAGACAGGCAAAGGCCCCAATAACCCCAACGGTGGCCCTCCGACAGGCAATGGCCCCAAAAGCCCCAAAATGGGCCGTCAGAAAGGCAAAGGACGCCCGTAAACTATAAACTGTAATTTTATTGTTTTATATCATTTTATTTTAATTGTAATTTTTTTTATAAAACAAGCAATATTTATTGTAATTTATAAATCCAGTACTTTTTGCACGGAAATTTACGTTTAATTTATGTATAAATTATTATATTTTAAACTATTTATAAATTATATATAAGGCTCGTTGTATTTTTACCAGGTTTAAATCATGATTTTATAGACACTATGAGTTATATTTTGTTTATGGTAAATATTAAAATTTACTGGTGACTATTACAATTAGTATAATTCTAACTTAATTAATTAATTAGAATTTTAAGCGATTACAGTGTACATTAATAATATTGTAAATTTTATTATAATTAATAAAATCCACATTTCCCACAGAAAAATTATATTTAATTAATTTTATATTATTTATAAATAATAATAAGAAGAAGAACTACAATTAATAATGTATATTAAAACAACTAAGTTAAAACTTTTCATAAATCATGGTGGTGATTTAAATGTTGCACTATTTGTAAAATGTTTCACAAAAATTGAGAAACAATTAAATGCAATATTTATAAACAATTTCCAATCACTTGAAATTTAATGTCAAAAACAATAGTTAATTACATTTGCAATTATTGTCAAACTTTTGCTCAAAACTAACTAAAATTTCAAATGCATATTACAACCACTATTTCTAATATTTAAAAATATTTATCTTATTACATATTATCATGTTAATATACAGGTACATACATCTAAATAAATGTATTACAATTAATTAATGATGCATTATTCATTTAATCTAATATTTATTGATTGAACCAAAATAATTATTCAAACAATTTATTTCTAACTACAATACAAACTGTAAAAACTAGATTTTTGCATTAAAAATAATTATGTTATTTTATATTTATTGAATAATGGTTGTAAAATGCATGATTCTCATTTAATTTTGTTTTTTTTAAATAAAATATTATAATTAATAATAAAATTAATTATTTTTGTAAACAACTTATATTAATTGTATTTAATAAACATACAGATATAATGATTTTACAAGTAATACAACAAATTAAAAATATCATAACATTGATCATAAAAATGCACAAGATCATTTTTACTGTTTAAACCATATAAGTTTATGTCTAGTATACTATAATTTAATGTTTGTCTCCAAAATCTAAAAACTATTAAATTTGATAAATATACATTTGAAAATAATTATTTTAATTAATAAAACATTTATTAAAAATATATGAATAGTTTAGTCACACAATAAGATCATTATCCAATTAATACACGTGCTTAATATTTGGAATATTTGTTTATTATTAATTTATTGACTTTACATTTATTTTGTTAAAACAAGCATCATCAAATATTATCATTTATATATTAATATCTCTACCATTGTTTTGAATTAAGTATATTTATCAATAACCTAAATTTAATAAAGCTTGTCACGAATAGATATTATAATAAATCAACTAATTGCAAAATCAATAATTTAATATATTACTTTTCAAAACGCAAGCTATGCTGCTATGCAACCCTAGATAATACATAGTTTTAAAAAATTCTTAGGCAAATCTCAATAAAACTTCACATTAAATTTAATTTGTTAGAAAATTTGAATATTTGATCTGGGTACGTTATTTAATATTCTTTTTCTAATTACTTAATTTATTAGAAAAATGACGACAAAAGCATATAATTAGAGCAACAAATAAATACAAATTGTGAGAATTCGAGTGAATCGATGGGAAACAAGTCATAACAATAGATAGCGATCTTCGGTTCGGTCGCCAATCGCTCCGCAAATGTCATCACTTTTAACCGATTGACGGGTGAGAGCGCTGTCGACCGGCGGCTCAGGTATGACACCAGCAATGGATATGGTTTATGGGCCGCTCTCGGGATCAATGATAACATTACAAATATTAATGCCATTATAAATAAAAGTATTACAATCACATACAACACTACGAGTTTATAGAGCATGGTTGATTTTTTATGACTAAGCGAATAAACACACATGGTTGCGGCCGTCGCCACAGAATAATAAATAATAAATATGATTAATCTGTACGTTATATTCAAATGGCGAACCCATTGTTCGTAATAGTGGTGTTCATGAATGGCCCGCAACAACAGTCGACTCCCGGTATTAAACCTTATGTTGTGATCGATCGTGTGGTAAATGTCCACAAACTTGTTGTTTACATAAGACATTGTTATGTATAGAACAAGACATTCGTACCAAACGTTACTATAAAAGTCGGCGACCGTAATGACAAACATTGCGTAAACTATTGTAACACTTGTGATAATTATTACTGTCACGTGACTTATTATTAGAATAATAGCTAGATATAATATTAACGCACAAAATAATACAGACATTAATGTGTAAGCGATGGCCACTAACCGTCTCATTAGACTCACCCTAACACTGATCCGTGACTCCCGGCGCGCACTCAACGGATATCCTATGCTATTGTATAGCAATGAGTGCATGAATTTGCACGCATATAGTCTACTGGTTAGCTCGTGGTATAAACAACATATACGTATGCATATCATAGATAATAACATGATGTTACATTGGGAACCGATCAATGTTTTATCACCAACATAACTCATTGTATCATCAATCACAGGATGGTCACCGTATGTGAGGTTTAAGCCAATGATCATAAAAATGAACATGCACATTCTCACTGTTGTAAACCATATAAGTCTACGCCGAGTGTAATGACCGGTCGTAACGTCGTCCAGTGTTGGCGATAGAGTGACACAAAGATGTTTCACGTATTTGTCAATCATTGCAATCTCACGACTCAGACACCCGTTGTTTGCCTTATAATTGTTGACTACATCTCTGGCACTGGTTTTCAATGCATACACTTTTTGTATCAATAATTTCATTGTTGGGATATTTATACTCATTATTGATATAAATGTATAGTTATTTATTGTGTTTAATAATGATTTTGAATCTAAACGTCACTTGACAATTTAATTTAATGTAATTTTTGTTTCCAAATTCAAAATTTTTTAAATATTATCAATATAATTTTTAAGTAATTTTGTTAATTAGCAAAATATTATTCAAACATATATGACTATTTTAGTCAAACAATAATATCATTATCCAATCAATAGAATTGCAAAATATTTTTCTCATATTAATTAATCTACTGTACATTTATTTTGTTAGAACAAGCATCATCGAATATTATCATTTATATATTAATATCTCTATTATTGTTTTAAATCACATATATTTATAGATGAACTAATTGCAAAATCAATACTTCAGATCATGACTTTTTAAAAGATGGGCACAAGTAAACACAATAAATCATTTTCAATATTAAATTTATTTAAATTAAACAATAATAGTATGATGTAAACTAAATCTGCACCATCACTAAACTCTAGGAATAGCTAAAGAAATTTTAAAGAAAAAACTTTTTTAATCCAATTTCAATAAAATATTTGATTGTGGTTACACTAGGTAAACTTATTTTTTTTAATTACTTAATGAATTAGAACAATGACGACAAAAGAATATAATTCGAGCAACAAATGAATACAAATTGCGAGAACTCGAGTGAATCGATAGGAAACAAGTCATAACAATAGATAGCTATCTTCAGTTCGGACGCCAATCGTTCCGCAAATGCCATCACTTTTAACCGATCGACGGGTGAGAGGGCTGTCGACCGGCGGCTCAGATATGACACCAGCAATGGATATGGTTTATGGGCCGCTCTCGGGATCAACGAAAGCCATACAAATATAAATACCATTAAACATAAAAGTATTACAACCAAATACAACAATACAAGTTTATAGAGCATGGTTGATTTTTGATGACTTAGCGAATAGACAAACATTGTTGCGGCCGTCGCCACAGCATAATAAATAATAAAAATGATTAATTTGTACGTTATATTCAAATGCCAAACCCATTGTTCGTAGTACTGGTGTTCATAAATGGCCCGCAACAGCAGGCGAGGCTTTGTATTAAATCTAACGATATGAGCAATTGTGCAGTAAATGTCGGTAAACTTGTGGCTCACATAAGACATTGCTATGTATAAGAAGATACATTCGTACCAAACGTTACCATAAAAATCAGCGGCCGTAATAACAAACAATACGTAAATTATTGTAACAATCGTGACAGATATTACCGTCACGTGATGTAGTGCAATAATAACGGATAAATATAAGACTAACGCACAACTTATGACCAACATTAGTGTGCATGCGATGGCCACCAACGGTCTCATTAGACTTACCCTAACACTGATCCGCGACTCCCGGCGCGCACTCAACGGATATCCGATGCAATTGTATAGCAATGAGTGCATGAATTTGCACGCATATAATCTACCGGTTAGTTCGTGGTATACACGACAAATATGTATGCATATCATG